GATGAGATGAGATGAGATGAGATGAGATGAGATGAGATGAGATGAGATGAGATGAGATGAAATGAAATCACCTGAGATGAGATGGGATGAGATGAGATGAAATGAGATAAGTTTAGATTAGATGAGATAAGAAGAGATCAGATCAGATCACGTTGGATTATATGAACTCACATCAGATCAGTTGTGATCAGATTTTTTGAGATGAAATTTAATTCGTTCAGTTCATTTGTCTTTACATCATTTGCGATTATTTCAATTTAGCTTAGACCTACTTGCTTTAATTCATATAATTTATATTTACATATTCCGATATTTATTTATATTTATTTTCTCATTTCTCGGTGATCTATGATGTGTTACAATGGGCTTAATCGTATTCTCATTAACTGAGATGCCTTCAGATCATCATCATCCTTTTTTCCGAAATCTGCTTTCAGTTGCCTTCTTATCGACTCCTCCTCGCCGGTCCACTTTTCTCCTTTCTTCTTCTCCCTCCTTTCAGGCGTTGACTTTCTTTTCTCGTCCTGTCTCATTGAATGGAACTGATATCGGCCCACCACCCTGTTACTCTGTCCCCAATCCAAACTTATTTCTTCTCTGCCAATTATCTACCCGATCCCTTCATCTCATCTTCTTGTCTGTCTCCGATTCTGTCTGTCTGTTCTCTGCACTCCTCGATTTCTGTTCACTTTAACGAGGCACCAACAACCTATCCATTTTTTTCTTGTTCTTTCTCTCTCTCTCCCTATCTCTCTCTCTCTCTCTCTCTCTCTATATATATATATATATATATATATTCCTTTCTTTCTTTATTTTCGGATATCGATCTATCAATATCTCTATTTTTATCTCCCCTCTTTCTCTTTCCTTCCCTCTCTCTTTCTCTATCAATCTATCTCTCTATTCATCTATTCTTTTATCTGTATCTATATTTGTCTCTCCTGATGCCGTACACCCATCTCCCGGCCACTGTGTCTGTCTGTGACTGTGTCCTTCGGCTGACCGAGCTCAAACTGCCAAACTTGAGCTGAGTGGCTGCCGGCCGGTGTGAAGGTGTACGAGTCGTTGTCATGCCGTTGTCAGGTGCGACCGAGGCAGCAATCAGAGCACCAGCTTTCCAGCGGTTGTCGGGATCCAGGCGTGTCGATTCTGGTATGCTCAGTGAATACAGGAGACGATATGTTGGCTGGAGCCGAGAGCATGACGCAGAGGCTGCGTGTCTGCGGGGCGAGAACGCGAAATCAGAGGCTGCGTCGTCAGTCCGTCGCGAAGACGGCAAGAGGCAATGCCCTGTCTACGCCAGAAGGCGGCAAGTGGCAACAAACACAGCATGTAAATGAGATTCTTTTTTCTTTTTAACAAAGTTGGCATGACTACTAGCAGATATTCCCAAAGACAAGGGCACATCCAGAATTAAAGTTAGTTCAATCCTCTTCCGTCGACGTAACTAAGCCCCAGGTTTTCATAAAATTTCATTTTGCCATGCTTCCAAAATGCTATTCTCATCCAGTTCCTCAATATCTTCAACGAAATGGGCTGCGTACAGTTGTCAACCTTTGTTGTTGTCTGTTAGTCGAATCTTCGTGTATGTCCGTGTCCGTCGTTTGTGCCAACCGCCTATAACCGTACCTCTCTGACCCGATCGGTCTGGTCGCATCATCGTACCATCGTATCGTCGTCGTCTCTGACTCACCCAAGTTCGTGAGTCCACCATCTATTTCGGCTAATCACGAGTCGGAGACACTGTTTGGTTGGGCGGAAAAGGGTGGCCTCAATTCATTTCGGACTGTACATTTGTGCCCAGTGGTCAGCGTCGACTCGATGGGTTCACCGAAATGTCACCAAGTCACACTAAACCAAACCATCCGGTACTGACATATTGTAGCCAATTTTGCGGGGACAACCAGGCCTTTCATTATTTGCCTTCATTTCAGGTAGACCCTGTGACTGTCAGCAGAGCTTGCGTAGAAACTGTACTCAAAAAACTGACAGCATGAACTGATGAAGGACGGATAGTTGATGTTTCCCAAAAACCAGACAAGCAGATCTCGCGATGGTAGTGAACATCCCTTGGCCTCGCTTGCTAAGGGGCTCTCTAATCCCTGCTGTATTTGGCTCAAATTTCGAACGCCAACACGATCGAGAACATGTCAATAAACACGAAAACAATCATGACCACGGATATGAGAACCAACATCAGAAGCAACACAACCACGACCATGGCAACGACTACTAGGACGAATGTGAAAGCAGGCACTACTACGAACACAAACACAAACTTAATAATGACAGCGATAATGCTCATAAATAAATGCGAGAACACCACCACGAACGTAACCATGTACGGAAATACACCACGGACTCGACCATGAGTACAACTGCGAATACGAACAGGGTCACCTCCGTGAACACGAGCACGAATAGGGTCACGAGCACCACCACTATCACAAACACAAACACGACCAAAAATACGAACGCAGGCATGACTATAAACTTGAACAATACCACTAACACGAATATGAGCATGACCACGAACACGACCACAAGCACAGACATGAACTCGAGCAAGAACCCAACAAAGACTACAAACACGACCATCAAATCGCAGTAAGCGTGAAAATTCATTTTCATCGAGAATAAGACAGAGTGCCTCGTCCGAGCTGGAATGATTTGTTTACTCGCTTGCGACAAATCCGCATCCTCGACGAAATTAAGAACCAGTGATTTTGAAAATCCCTCCGAAATCCACCTTTTACAGTGGGATTCTTGATGAAGCAACCTTGTTTTTTTTCAGGTATTATATTCGAACAGAGTATATTTTGAAGCTACGAGTTAATCTTCAATAAGAATTTTAGTTACTTGCACCATTACTCTTTAACTCACCTACTACTATACTACTACTATTACTACCACTGCCACTAATTATGCTACTACTACTATCCTTATCATTTTT